GTGCCTGGAAGGGAGATGTCACACTGCCAACAGCAATTGGAGAAGCGTCTGCTGCCTGTCCTGGGTCTCACGCTGAAGGCATTTAGTGTGATTTAACACTGCAGGCTTCTTGGAGAGGTGCCTCCTGACTCCTATTTGTCTTTCAACTTTGGCCATGAAGGAGTGTTACATTTTTATGTGGTCTTATTTATCATACTTTTCCTTTATGATTCTCTGGTCTTTGTAACATTCTTGGAAGGGCCTTCCTGCCAAGTAAAGGCCATTTAAAACATCTATGAGAGAAAAGAGGATGCTGGGCGTACCGCAGCCATTTCCAGCAGCTTTCTTTGATTTTATTTTCTTTTACTCTGTTTTGTGTTAATCAGTAGCTGTGTGCTCCCTGGTTAACTTCAGAAAGCTGAGCGGAAGCCACCAGGCATCTTCGGTGTCCTCAAGCAGGAGGGGGCTGGTTCAGGGACTCGGTGAGGAGGCCTCCCCTGCCACAGGGGTCTCCCTTAGGCTGGGGACGTGAAGGGATTCCAGCTTGGTGTGGCCACAGTATCATGGGAATCTGGACTCCTAGACTCATAGTGTCCTAGAGCTTTGCCTCCATGCCTCAACCATCGGCTCCCAGGCAAGTGACTTAGCTTCCCCAAGTTTCGGGATTTTTATTTGTAAAATAGGAATAATACTAGTAATAATAACAAGAACAAAAACAATACCTACCTCACAGGGTTGTTTTCAGACTTAAATGAACTAATGCATCGAAGTGCTTAGACCAGGGCCTGGGACATATGAGCAAATGCTTCATAAATGTCACCTGTCACAGTTATCTGAGCAAGTGGCCCTGGGATAGAGCCATTGATGCAGGACTTTGAAGTCAGTACACAATTTTTTTTTTTTTTTTAATAAAGATGGGTTTTCACCATGATGGCCAGGCTGGTCTTGAACTCCTGACCTCAGGTGATCCACCCACCTCAGCCTCCCAAAGTGCTAGGATTACAGGCGTGAGCCACCATGCCCGGCCGTCAGTACACAACTTTCTCAGATGGAGACACACTGTCCAGTTTCTAACATTAGGCATTTTCTCTTTTTTTTTTTAGATGGAGTCTCACTGTGTTGCCCAGGCTGGAGTGCAGTGGTGTGATCTCACCCCACTGCAACCTCCACCTCCCAGGTTCAAGTGATTCTCTTGCCTCACCCTCCCAAGTAGCTGGTACTACAGGCATGAGCTACCACACCCAGCTAATTTTTCCTATTTAGTAGAGACAGGGTTTTGCCATGTTGGCTATAGGCTGGTCTCAAACTCCTGACCTTAGGTGATCCGCCTGCCTCAGCCTCCCAAAGCGCTGAGATTACAAGCGTGAGTCACCGTACCCTACCAACATTGGGCATTTTCCTTTCTGCTTCGTGGAGGAACCACCTCCTGTCCTTCCAGATGCAACCTTCAGAATGCTTGGCCTCAGGTCTGGACTTTTTCTGTGGGTACTATAGGTACTTAAGCCTATAAACTCTTAAAGCATCTGCTTGGGATCAGAAAAAAACATTACTGTCCTCAAGTTATGAAAGGAGAACTTCAAAACCAAGATTAATAAATGTTCACTTAAATGCCTTTGTTGTATCAATGTCATTCATTACTAAATGTAGTACTCATAAACATTTCATTATCTTTGAAGACAAAGTTTTTTTCTCACTTGGCAAGACATCCAACGCACACACGACTGTTTAGAAATAAAACCAGTTGTATATTCAGTGACTCCCTTGTCGTCCAGTGATTCCAAAAGCCAAATTTGTAAAAATCCTTTCAAAATGTTTACTGCAAGAAAATTATGTTTAATGTGGAATGTGGTATATTTTAGCACATTTGGCCTGATGGGGTTGGGCTCCAAAATAAGAGTTTGGGGGGTCTATGAAGACTTCACAATTGATCCTGGATTCAGGGGCCACCTCCCAGAGGGCAAGTTTGTCTGTGGAGCAGAGGAAGGGGCTGGGATCCCCCTCTTGCTACCTCCCTGCACAGTCACCTCTTCCAATAAGGTTAGCCCTGCTTGTGTGGCAGCCAGTACTGGCCTGGTCCCCATGGGGTGTCCAGCTTTCCCTGAGAAAGCTGGTAGGCCTTGTTGAAACACCATCCTCACAACTAGAACACATGACCATGTGGAGCAGTTCCCTAGGTGGTGTGATCAGTAAATGACCTGATCAGACTCTGCTCAATCTAAATCTCTCGGGGTGAGGTCTGGGAATTTGCATTTTAGTAACTTTCTCCCCGTCTCCCCAAGGCCTTATAGATGATTCTGATGCACATCTAAGTTTGAGAATTATTAGTCTAGAGCATGTGTGTACTCCAGGAGGAGGGCAAGATGATCCATTTTTCAATCTCATTAGTCTATTTAGTGTATGTTTCATAATATGCACAGTGTCAATGCAGTAGGGTATATATAGAAATTGTAAATAAAGAAATACACATCTATTAGTGTACATGCTTTAAAAATTTATTACTGTTAAGGGTGCATGATCAAAAAGGTTTAAAGCTCAGAGCAACCTGCCCAGCCCAGCTATGTGATCAGACCTACTGAATATGTGGCTCTGAACCTGGGCCTGGGAGGTGGGGAACTGGGACTGGCATGCACAAAAAGCAGAGGACAGGCTGCCCCATGGTGCCAGCAAGGAAACTGCACCTCACTCGGTGCCAGGCACACAGGTAGTGCTCAATAAATGGTCACTGGGCAATGAGTGAAGCTGAATCCCAAAAATACCTGGGAATAAGATGGCACAGGGCTCATTCCATGCTAGCATGGGCAGCACAGACTTCCATCCTTCAGAGGGAGGGCCTGACAGCTTAATCCATTCATTTTTTTATTCATTGATTCGTTTGGTAACTAGTTATTGAGCATACACTAAGCATCAGGCACAGGCACTCAGGGATCTACCCCTCCAACTTGTCCCTCAACTCCTTGAAGTTCAGGCAGGACACCACCCCCTCTCCCCATAGCTTTTCTGATAGCATAATTAACTATAGGCTGGTGGCTGGGTGGACATGGTGGCACACGCCTATAATCCCAGTGCTTTGGGAGGCCTAGCTGGGATCTGAAGCCAGGAGTTCAAGACCAGCCTGAGCAACAAACTGAAACCTCATCTCGTAAAAAACATAAAAGGGCCGGGCATGATGGCTCATGCCTGCAATCCCAGTACTTTGGGAGGCTGAGGAGGGTGGATCACTTGAAGTCAGGAGTTCAAGACCAGCCTGGCCAGCAGTTAAAAATACAAAAATTGGCCAGACGTGGTGGTGGTGTGTGCCTGTAGTCCCAACTACTCAGAAAGCTGAGGCTGAGGCTGGAAAACTGCTTGACCCCAGGAGGCTGAGGCTGTAAGACTGCAGTGAGCCGAGATCGTGCCACTGCACTCCCACTGGGCAAGACTCTGTCTTAAAAAAAAAAAAAAAAAGAAACCAGCCAGAAGAGAGCAACAGGGAAGGAAAGGAAGGTGGGAGCTGAGCTGCTGTTGAAGGAAGCTTCTCCAGGTCCCTGCCCGGGGCCTCCCTGTCCTGCATGCCTGTGTGGCGCTCACAACACCCATGCATGCACATACAGGGATTCAGGTGTTCACAGAAGTGAACATGTATGCACTGACACCCACCCTGTCAGGCACTGCCTGCAGAATCCACGCTGTTGGGGGTGGGTAAGTGTTGCCACGGTGACTAGTGCTGGAACACCACCTTGTGGGTATTAATAGCTTCCCCCAGCCCAGTCTCCCTGGCAGGTCCTTCTCCCTCTTCCCTTCTAGGATGGGGCTGGGAAGCGTCCTCTGGATCAGAGCCACCACCCAGTCTGTCCCCCACTCCATGTTTCCCAGCAGCTGCCTTGGGGAAGGATGGCAGGAAGGCCTCCAGGTTCTGCCCAAGGTCTAGGGGTATGGAGAGTGCTGGCCTTTTGACCCTCTGAGTTGGATCTACCCAAGTCCCTGTCAGGGAAGAGTTTCTGGGGCACAGGACTCCTCAGAAGGGTGGCGCTCAGCTTCTCTGGGTCCTATGCAGCCACATCAACTTCCTCTAGGTCCCTTCCTGGCCAGAGACCTAGTTGACACTACCAGTGGTGACCCCTGTTCCAGTACAGAGCTCCCTGAAGGACTAGGGTGGAAGCTGGGGTCGGGGGTGGGCCTTGGAGGTAAAATGTAAGAGGCCTTCATTCCCAGCCTCATGCAAGTGCAAGGTTGGTATCTGCATGACCTTGGGAGTGAGCACCTCCTTCAATTTTGCACCAGGGATGCCTTGGCTGCCTCATCCTATCTCAGCGCTGTTGACCCTCTCATCAGCTCCTCAACCCTCAGTTCCCTGCCTTTGTCCCTGATGCCTCTCACCTTCCTTTAGGACTCCCTGGAATCAGGCTGCCCTGAGTTGCAGAACCGGGGCTGCCTCTAGTCTCAGGTGAGCGCCCACCTCCAGCCCTCACTTCCCTCCTTCCCTTTGACCTTCTTTTTCTTTCCCCTGCTTTGCCCATAGCCCCAGGTCTAGGCCATGTGGGGCCTGTGACATCCCCTTGCAGGGCAAGGTGGTTCACGCCTGTAATGCCAGCACTTTGGGAGGCCGAGGCAGGTGGATCACCTGAGGTCAGGAGTTTGAAACATCCCAGCTGTGCTCTACCTTTGGGGCCTCATCCCCTCTCCCATTCCTTTGCCCACGCTGGGCTTCCCTGGAGCCACTGTCTGTAAATCCTAGCAAGGTCCTTGTACTTCACACATACTCCAGGGGAATGAGTCGCAACTATGAAGAGCCCTCATATTTGTTCTAACTTGTGAAAGGCCTGATCCTAGTGGCCACTGACAGTGACTTCATTCCAGCAGATTTCTGGGATAATATAAGTGTGTGTGCTTGTATAGGAGTGCGTGTGCGAGATAGTGTAGCAGTGTGTGTATGTGCACATATGTGTTGCCATTCAGAGCCCACGGATTTCTGATGCATGAGTCATTAGCTGGGAGTGAGCTTTAAGAAGATACTGCCCATAAATAAAACAACCATCCCTGACCTGCTGTGACCATCTGCAGCTGCTTGCACACGTGATCCTAGGCATCCGGGAGGCTGAGGCTGGGGTCGGGTCTGTCTTTCCCTCCAGATCCCAGAGAGAGGGCGGCTGTCACAGATATTTCTAGCTTGCTTGGAGTCCCAGACATTTAAGGGTGTGATGCCTGAAATAGGGATGGAGAGAGGAGAGCAGGAGAGGGACATAAAGGGCAGTTCAGGAGGCTCTGCTCCCAAGGATCTTAGTGGAGTCTCCCGGCGCGCAGCGGGAAGCACGCATTCCACAATTATTTTCTGAGAATCTCTGATGTGCCAGGCACCACCCCAGGGGGTAGGGACACCCGGTGAACATGACTGACCTGTGCTCTCCCCTCACAGAGCTTATGCTCTAGCAGGGGAGGCAGGAGATAAACAAGGAGGAAAGGCTACTTGTAAACGAATTCCATATACAAGCTATGAAGAAAATAAAATGCAATATCATGGAAAGTGACTGAGAGTGGAGGGGGTTCTTTAGTTGGGACAGTCAGGGAAGGTCAGGACATGAATTCTCCCTAGATAACAAGGACCAGCCAAATGGAGACTCAGGGAAGAGCCTTCTATTATAGAAAAGATAAATGAGATGCCCCCTGCCCACCCATGTCTTCACTGGACTCCGGACCAGAGTTGCTGAAGCCAGATCAGGGAGCTAGAGATGACTTAGGGGAGCAGGAAGGCTGATTCCCTGGGGGAAAGCTTGGAACATCTTCCATCCCTGATAGACCAGGAGAGATGCCCCAGGTGCAGGCAGAAGAATGATTTCCCTTTCGCTTCCTGTAGGATTTTTGGTGCAGTGCTAAGCCACAGGAATGCGCTGGCCACATGAGCAGGGCACTTGCAGAAGCCCCCCTTCCTCCAGGAAGCCTCCTTTGACTGCCGTAGGCCGCAGAGGCTCCTTTCCCCCACCTTGTTACAGCTGATAGAACCACTCAGTTCAGAGCTGGTGGTCTTCTGAAGATCTGTCCCGGAGATCTGTTCCCTCAGCTTGGCCAGAGCCCCAGGCTTGCGGGTCTGGTTCGTGCGAATTCAAAGGCCCCCAGTGGCATCCGTGCAGCAGGGAGACTGCCCGGGGTTCCTACTCTGAACCCTTGCCCTAGCTCCCCTACTCAGGCTGAGAGCCGGGGTCCTAATCTTAATTCCTTTATTCAAGCATCCGCTCCCTCACTGACGTGTTTCCCTGAGCTCTCCACTGTGCGCCAGGCCGGGTACCTGGGGCTAGGGAAACCGAACGTTAGCGTTGGCTCGCTCGCCCCCGCATCCGGGGAGCGCGGTGTTCTCGCTGCCCTGCTCCCCTTGTTTTCGAGTGCAAGTTCCACGGTTCCGTGCTGGGAATAAGGCCAGCCTAGGGGGCCGCCATCCTCGCCTGAGGTCTAACTTGCAGCTACGGGAACGCGGCGCGTCCCGGGGCCACATCTGGCCGAGCAGGCGCGCGCGTGTCACTAAGACGCTCATTCAGCGGCGCAGCTGTCACCATAACAACCGGAGAGAGGGAATCCTGGACACGGCCGGGGCGGGGGGCGGGGGCGGCGGCCGCGGGAGGGACCCGGCGCGGGCGGGAGCGCGGCGGTCGGAGGACACCAGCCGCGGTGGGAGCGCCCAGCACGCCCCGCGCTCCGCTGAGCCCCGCTCCATCCACACCCGCCGGCGGGAGGGCACCACGCACGTCGCCGCCGCGGCCGTCCCTGCGGGGCGGTGACAGAGCTCGCCTCGGAGACGCCGAGAGCCAGCTCCGGGGACCCTGACTCTATGGCCCGGGGGGGAGCGCGCCGAAGCCGCCGCGCCGCCCACCCTCAGCCGGAACCCGAGCGCCCCCGGGAGGAAGCCGGGAGCCCCGGGCGCCCCCGGCCCCGGCCCAGGGGCCTGCCAGTGGCCCCGGCTCCCGCCGCGGGGCATGGGAGGCAGGTAGCCCTCTCCCACCAGGGCACCCACGGCGGGCGGGACTCGCCAAGGACCGCGAAGTCTCAAAGAGGAAGCAGAAGAGCGGCCTTCCCGCCCCCGGCCGCAGCCCCAGCAGAGCCCTCCCCCGGCGGCGCGCACCGGCGCGCGCACACACTCGCACACCGTACCTCCGCTCCGATCCGGCCTCGCCCCCACCTGCGAGCGCCGAATCCCCTGGGGCCGGATGCCATGGGTAACAACTTCTCCAGTATCCCCTCGCTGCCCCGAGGAAACCCGAACCGCACGCCGCGGGGCCACCCCCAGAACCTCAAAGGTAGGCTCCCCGGCCGACCGGGCGCAGCTGGAGGACTGGGGAGCAGGAGGAGGGCCAGGGAGGTGTGGTTGGGGAGCACTGGCAAACGACACCTGTTGTGCGTGTCTGGAGGCCGGGGCTGCACCTCTGGCGGTGGAGAGGGCTCGGGGTGGGGGGCAGCCGGCGGCGATGGTGATGGAGGATGGCGTCCCTCGGGGTCTGCGCAGTTCTGTCTGATAGCGCTAGGAACGTCACTGGAGTCCCCTCAGGCCATGGTGCTAGGCGAGCCTGAAGAGGTGGGGAAGGACGTTTGCCGGGTCTATAGGGGAGTGGGGAGTGAGGAGGGAAGCTCGGGTAGTCCGGGTTGAGCTTCTTCAGAGAGCCACCTTGGTCTCCTTTCCATCGGCCTAGGGCTGGGGAGACCAGGCTGGGAGCACTAGTTGCATTTCCAATGGGAGGGTTTTAAGAATTCAGGATGGGCTTACAGCAGCCTGGAAAAAAGGGTCCGAGCTGCTGGTTCCTGGGGTCCTTGCAGCCGTTGGCTTTTTGCATCCATTGAATTAATTTGATTTCTGTTTTTTCCAAAGACCAGATATCCAGTCAAGAGCCCTAGAAAAGACGGGCTGGGAGCCTTGAAACAGAGGGACATTTATTTACCAGGAATGTCTTTGCTTTCTACCCCTGCCCCCCAGATCCACTTAGCACCTTCAGGGTGGCCCTAGGCCCAGTCTCCCAGTTCCCAGCCCGCCATTCTTGTCTTGGAGCTTCCTATGCTGCCTCTGACCTTTGGAAGACACTGCTGGGTCCTCCCAGGCCCTCAGACCCTACTAAATTCCCTCAAGAAGGTGCTTTTCTTTCCCCCTCAGAACGAGCGGCACTTGTCTTGGGCATGATGGCTGAAAGCCAGGAAGGGAAGCACTTGGGCTTTCACAGAGAACGCCCTACTTCCTCAGCCCCTCAAGTTATGAGAAGGATAATAGGGCCCTTTAACACAAGGCATCGAACTTTCACAAACACATTTTCAGTCAGCATGAACACTGCCTGGGGTAGTCAGCAGAGCAGAGCTAATCACACTATACCCATTTTACAGATGAGGAGAACCAAGGCTCGATTTAGGCTCCCAAAGCCAGCCAGACCTTGGTGCTGGGTGCTAGGCTGTAGACTCCTATCTTTTGAGTTGGAATTCTGCCTTTTTTAACTTTTAAGACCAGGGAAGAGGAGGAGAGACGGGACCATTGTCCTGCATTGTAATACTCCAGCTCTTTCAGAACTTCAGCTCTCACTTGGCTCAGGAAAATCAATGGATTTGTTGTGTCTTTCTGGAAATTAATATGGCAATACATGTCAAGATGGTTTAAAATATCAATTTGTTGGCCGGGAGCAGTGGCTCATACCTATAATCCCAGTACCTTGGGAGGCTGAGGCAGGTGGATCACTTGAGGTCAAAAGTTCCAGTCCAGACTGGCCAACATGGCAAAACTCTGTCTCTACTAAAAATACAAACATTAGCCAGGGATGGTGGCGCATGCCCCAGCTACTTGGAAGGCAGAGGCAGGAGAATCCCTTGAACTTGGGAGGTGAAGGTTGCAGTGAGCCGAGATCATTCCACTGCACTCCAGCCTGGGCAACAGAGTGACACTCCGTCTCAAAAAAAAAAAAAAATCAATTTGTTGACCTTGTAATTCTACCTAGAGGAATTGATCCTAAAGAAGTGGAGATGCAGGCATATATACTTACAGCACTGGGCTAGGATGTTCATGGCAGTGTTGTTTGTACGAGGTAGATGACCTAAATGCTCAGTAATCATGGCATATACTCTTGGTGGAGTAGTATGCAGTCATTAAAATTATATTCATGAAGAATATTTAATGACTGGGGAAAATGCTCACAGTATAATGACAGAATACAAAGTTGTGAAGATGTATGATCCCAATTTTGTTTAAAAAGTCATATGAATGCAAAAAACTTTAACAAAAACAAAACAAGCAAAAATGCTTGTAAAGTTTCCAAAAGGCTAACAGTAATTTCCTCTGGGTATGGGATCATATGGAATTTTTTCTTTTTTATATTTTGCTCTTTTCTAAAATTTTGATAAGTATTATTTTTGTAATCAGAAGTAAGCTATCAGTGTTAGCAAGTATGAAGACTGTTTCTGAGCGTTGGAAACAGATTCCTAATGAACTGACGAATATCATTCAGCTCAACCTTCTCTGCAAGTGAGAATAACAAGGGAAAAGAATAATGATTTGCCCAAATTAAAGTGGCAAAAGTGGGCCCTGTCCTTCAGCCAGTGAGTTGACTTGGCCCTTAATATTTGCAAACTGGCCGGGCGCGGTGGCTCAAGCCTGTAATCCCAGCACTTTGGGAGGCCGAGGTGGGTGGATCATGAGGTCAAGAGATCGAGACCATCCTGGTCAACATGGTGAAACCCGGTCTCTACTAAAAATACAAAAAATTAGCTGGGCATGGTGGCACGTGCCTGTAATCCCAGCTACTCAGGAGACTGAGGCAGGAGAATTGCCTGAACCCAGGAGGTGGAGGTTGCGGTGAGCCGAGATCGCACCATTGCACTCCAGCCTGGGCAACAAGAGCAAAACTCCGTCTCAAAAAAAAAAAAAAAAAAATTTGCAGACTATCTTCCCAAGAAGGCCTTGCTCCATCCTTGACTCTATGGAAACCCACAGAGTCCCCCAGTAATTGTACCTTTTTAAACTAAAATTTTGAATCGTGGGAATCTGAGGTCTCTGTGGCTAAGGTCTTTGGCAGAAGGCAGGAGTCCCATCCACACACCTACTGTAGGTGGCCATGAGGATTCCGATCCCGCTCCCACTAAGCCTGAAATGAAGGACAGAGTGTGCTCATGAAGGCCACCAGTTGTTGCCTCTGACTTTCGTCCAGGGTCCACTGATCCTCCTTCTCAGCTTGACTTCTAGGGGCTTCTTCCCATCTTTCTACCCTAATAGAGCCATCACCTTTATTCTGTAATAGTTTAGTGTGTATTCCCAATTCCCTTCTAAAGTATCGGCATTGACCTACGAGTCTTCTCTGATGTATCAGTGGTCAGCCAGAAGTCCATTCTAATTGTGTTGGTGTTGACCTGATAGGCTGTGTTGCTAACCCAGAGTTCTGCTGGGATGACATCTGTACTCAGCCAGAATTCATCTCTCATTCTTATCTGTGCTCATCCAGAAATTTGCTGGGAGTAGGGGTAGAGTGACTGTCTGGATTTTCTTCTCACCTTACATGATTGCAATCTCTTGATTCCTCACCATTTTAATTAAAACAACTGGAAGGGACCTGGTATAATAGGGACCCTGGGACTGATTGGAGATCTAAGATTGGTCTGGCTGTCAGGCTGACATGACATGAGATTCCACCATCGCCTCGCAGGTGGTAGACTTTGGTTTTCTTCTTGGGAACACACTGACCCCACTCTGCTGCTGGCGATTCCCACCAGGTTCTGAACCGCGTTGGTCTAGGAGTGTTCGGGGAGAGGTCCCTGGTGTAGCTCTGGGCTTAGAACCAACAGGCAGTGCCCAAGGAGCTCCCATGTGCCCAGCTCAGGGGTAAGACATCTCTGGGCTTTCACAGGCTGGAGATCTACTCAAAAGGCAAGGATGAGGGAGTGAATGGAATCAAGCGTTTGCTTGGTTGGACTGTCGAAACCCAGATGTGTGGGCAGAGGTCAGAGAAGGGGCATCAGGGGAGGATCTGAGCTGGACAGGGAGGTAACTGGAGGAATTGGAGAGATGGCAAGGGATGTAGCAGAGTCCTAGGGTGTGGGAGAATGGGAAAAGGCACAGACAGTAAAGGCATGGAGGGGCTTGACAGTATATGTGTATATCACATGTAATATAAAGCATATGTATATGGAAGTTATGTATATATTTCCGGTGAGGGGCACAGAGTGACTGGGGTGGGGTGTGCAGGAGGTTCATGTTTAGTGGAGAAAAATACAGAGAATAAAGGTTTTCCTCCTTCCCTGGTCTTTCTGAGTGCCTGCCTGCTCAGCGCTAAGTGTTGAGGGACAGGCATCCTAGGAAAAAGCCCATGGGTAGAGATATTCAGCCCCAGTGGTCACC